TACTTGAAAGCCCTGCGTGAACGACATAAAATGAAACATGGCGGCAAAGTCCTCCGGTTAAAAGTCGGTGACGTAGTTATCGTGAAAGGCGAGGAAAGAAATCGAGGCAAGTGGAGAGTTGGAATGGTCGACAGACTAATAGTTGGGGAAGACGGCATCGCTCGAGGGGGGAAAGTACGAGCGGGCCAGAGCACATTAGAACGCGCAGTTCAACATCTGTACCCGATGGAGTTGTCCCGTGACGTGGCTGCGAAGACTACAAAGTCAGGATCAAAACCAGCGAAACTCAGAGCAGATGTTCCTGACCACGACGGAACGCAGCCGCGATAGCAGAATCTCGTATTCAAGACATGGCGGATAATGATCAAAACAAGGCTAACTTTAAATATACAATTTGTTAAGTATAGCGAACAATTTATATAGTAATTCCTAAATGTTTATTCAAAGTTTATAATTCGATCATTTACGTTAAATTAGCTATAATCAGGGTTATCATGGACGGTGAACGAAAACAATCCATATATATTCATTTCGCTGAAATGGAATAGGGTGAGTGTGTTGAGAACTATGGGGATATTATTAATTAAGGATAAAATTTAGTTAGACAAAATAAGTGTCAATCAATTTATACGTCACAGGTTATCAAATATGTAGGGTGGTGCATGAATATCTAGAGGAAGAATCGTGTAAGTCGTGATAGAGAGATCTATCTGAGAAAAACGTGAACGTGTTGGCTTAAACATAGCTCTTTTAACGGCATTTCTCAACAGTATATACAGCCACAGCGCTTAAAGAATAGACCAATCGTCATGTCGGAACCCTATAACAAAAACCACTAAAAAAAACGCGACAAGATAAAGCTCAACAAGCGATGTTTTGCAAACAGTCGCTAGTATGCGTCAATACAGAAGTGTTCTGTCACGTAAAAATCTGGTCGCTTGCTTTTGCATCGTTCCGACGTCCCCGCCGAAGATCTACATGGTTCTTCTCAAAAAATCCCTAAATGTATATTATTTTAGTTAGAGAGATATTTACAAAGCAACTAGCAGTATAGGGAAGATGTATGTTCCAGGCGGACGCCGTAATACACGTCAATGCCCATGCAGCTTAAATCACATCGCTCTGCAATTGAGACCGACTTTCTCTTGTAACATTAGAGAGCGCAGGCATTTCCTCTGCAGTTTCGCTGTTGATTCGTGATAATCGTTGTCTGAACCTTGTTCTGTATTTCTTCATGCCAAAGAAATATATCAAGGGATCAAAACACGAATTCAAGAAGGTGAATGCATTTAACCAACGCCAGGTGACATGTTTTTCATCATTCGATATACTTTTATCAGCAGTTGAAACGACTCGATACACAGCATAAGGAAGAAAGACCGCGTAGAAAAAACAGACGATGAGGAATGTTGTACGGATTGTTCTTTTCATGGAATAGTGTTGATTTGAAGTTGTACTTGTGAAAGAACCAAACCGTCTTGCCATCTCCCTTGCTTGGACTCTTGCGGTCCGGAGTATAACAGCGTAGATGATAGAGAGTATGATCAACTGTGAAAATGACAAGGCACAAAGCAAGAGTTCGTATTCTTTATGAATATCGATTTCATAACTCACGGCATGACCGACTCCAAGCAAAATGGCTGTCAACCACGAAACAACAACAGCAATCCATAACACATTCGACGTAATCAATACTCTATACCTTAATGGCCAAACCACTGCAATGAATCTATCAAATCCAATCAGCAATATCGCATTACCGGTCGAGAATATACACACGACAAACAGCGAGGTGTAGATTTTAAAATTCCCCGTCGTAGTCCTGAGAAAAAGAAGGTAAGATCTCCACGGTACATACGTTACGAGGGCAAAAAAATCCGCTATAGATAAATTTAGGATAAGTTTGTCAGCTGTTGCGCTTAGAGATCTTCTTGACAAAAGAAAATACAAAAGTACTAACGTATTTGTAATACAGCCGACAACACTTTGACTGGCGGTAAACACACCAAGGAATGTTGCGACATTTGAACTCAGCAGCTTCGCCATTACCAAATATTCAATTTTTCTTAACCGTTTTACATCACAACATCTCTTCACTGAAATGACCGAATTCGTCTGTGTCGATTGTTTAAACAGCGGTTTCTCAACATCCAGTTAACTCCGAATTAATGAGTTTTTAAGAAGCGAATGTAGCTTTTTATTGCAGATGAATTGATACGTCTTTAATTATGTATATTTGACCCTCGACCGATGACAAATATAGCTACATGACAAATATATTATACCAGCCGAGTAATAATTAATCAAAGTTATTTCGCTTATTTTTGCATGATCATTGTGAAACCAAAAGTAATAAAATTCTTTCTTTCAGGCAGCCGATTTCCAAGGACACGCGGGGCAGTTGTGTACATATACATGTACACGTTTATACAGCTATATCAATCAATCAATCAATTGTGATTGATGTCCAAAGAGCAGATGTTAAAGTCTTGCGGACATGCATTTTTTTTATCTGACAAAAAATTAAGACAAAAACTGTGACGAAAGTGACAAAATTAAAAGATTAGTAAAGAGGAACAGCAGTGCCAAACAACATCTTGTGGAAAATGAATTGGCATTTGGCAATTCCAATTCGTGCATCCATTTTGATTCCAAAGCAAAGGCAAAAGGTAAACCTAACGCTTTGGCAAAGCAAAAACGTAATGTCACAGGGTCAGGTGTACGACGCATGCAAGTCATTTGTATAATATATGTTTAAAGCTGATTGCGGTGACGAAATCCTCGCGCATTCCCGTTTGATCCCAGAATACAAGGCATGCCCACCTCCTTCACCCCCTTCCCAAGGGTATAATGCCGATACGGGCATTTAGCTCAACGGTAATATACAATGAATTGCCCAAGAAATTGAAGGCGAAAATTAAGTCGAAAATTGATTAGTCCGTGAAAATACTGTTACAAGATGAAGAAAATGAATTGCTCAAAATTTGTCAGAAAATGAATTGGTAAGATAATGAATTGCTCAAAATTTGTCGGAACGCTTTTATTTCCGCAGGCCACAGTGATATCACTGATCAATATGGGATTAATTGTCTTACAACTACAAGGGCCTTATCATAGGCTGTGTGTAGGAGGTCTAAGTATAAAACAAATACTGTCTTTTTCTCTTCCCATTGCCAAATGTGTCAGGAAAAAGTGATGCAAGTGCAGAAGTTAGGAAATGAAGTAATAAAGAGAGTCTTCAAATAACTCTCATAGTCAAATTGGATTAAGCTACGTACGCTGAATTTAAGAGAGGCAAATTAATATTTACCATTTCACATTTCAAAATATGGCACAAACTGTACTGAACTAAACTTTTGACTTCGAATTTGACTTCCACTGACATGTTTAGGGTCATTCTTATTTTGATATTTGGCAGATACTAGTCGTTGCTCATTTAATGCAAATGTTGTCAATTTTCACACCAGTTGAGCAGCTTATACTCAATGTCTTTGTGTGGGACTTTGTATGTCTTTGTGTCAATATCTTTTTTTTTAACTTTCCAATCCATTCTAATGCTAGGATAACTTTTACAGTTATCTTACTTAACTTAGACACCAGCCTTAAGTTGACAACATTTGACGTAGACATGCCATGCACGTGGACACTGGTGCGGGACTGCCCGTGCCACAAATCTTAATAAGTAGTTGTATTAGACGGTTTCCATTACTGCGTTAGCTGAATACACTACATAATGCTTTGTGAGTATTATATAATTCTACCTACTCTTGAATCATTCTTGTGGTGGTGTTCACAGTGTGTAGTGGGGGTCTACTTATTTATGGATATTATATATTTGTGTGTGTATTTTTGAACGTATTTCGTACGTACGGGGGTTGCACCTTGCATGGGACTTCGCTTCCCGTTTGTGCATACTCCTTTTAAGTCAGAAACTTACTCGTTATGCATAATATTAATTATATATGTAATGTACTCAATAAATATTAAAAGCAAGCGAGAAGTTGAAAAACACAGAACAGTATCATGCAAAATGGGATAGAAACAGGTCTATTTATAAAATAAATGTACTGCATGCAGATGGTAAAATTTCAAGATCAAGACATTTATCCATCTATATCATGATGCTTTGTATACAATTGTATAAGAACAGTCAGAATATTAAACATTACCTTGATTCACTATATTTATAAATGAATATCAGCTGGAATTTATGTCCAGAAAAGTGAGAAACATGCTAAATTTTAGCAATTCCAAATCAAAAAGCCTAGCCATTGTTACGAGCAGATATATATAAAGCAGAAGCAACTGCACCACTTTTTTATAAATATTAGAAATAGCCAGCACTTGTCCTTCGCACTAATCTAAAATATTGCAGGCTTTTAAATATACATACTCCTGCATCTGTGAATGACAGCACTTGGAAATTTAAACATGCAATGTTTCCATATCATGTAATGGAAGAAATTGCTATACCACTGTAAGTTTAATAAACTCACCAGGTTGTAGTACTGGGTTCAACTTATCTTCAGTCAAACCCAGTGTTCTGCAGTAACATTGCAACATTGCCCCACAAGATGGAAGCCATTTTGAGGAATGCAAATGTTGAATGTGCAATATACTTTAAAATCCATCAGGTGCAATTTGGAAAATATTCTGAGCATTGTGGATATAAATTGGAATGTTGCAATTGTTTATGGGCTAATTTAGTTAAAATCGGTCCAAACATGGTATCTGACACCAGTGGGCACCACTATAGCAGGACCATGTGTCAGAAATATTCAAATAATATATATTGTTATATAGGTGCTGTGTACTTTAAATGTGATTGGTTCATTCCTAGTAATTCGGAAAACAGTGAGTTTTGTTTTCCCTCGAGTCTCAATGTTTCAGACTTTTGGGAAAAATGTTTCAAACATTCAGACCCTTGGGAAAACAATACTCACTATTTCCCTCGGGAGCATACATTAAGTGTATAATATCGCTATTGTCATCTTCCATACCTTGAAATACTTCAACACAACTTGAATATGACTCTTTGGCTTCTTTCTCTGACATGAATGGCCTTGCCATAAAGCATTGAAGATAAAGACGGTGTGATTTCTGCATTTTGCACCTGAAATTTTTTATTTAGACTAATTTTAAAGTTCTCATATGCTGTGTGTTTACAGCATAGGTTTTCAGTGACAATTTTCCCGCGAACTTCTGAACGGCGTTGAATTTCACTTTGAAATGACGGGTTGCTCCACCCGATCGCGGGCAAGCAGTAAGCCAGTGAACTCTATATACAAACTGGAAAGCTAAGTAGCGATCAGTGATAAACTGCCTAGTGCAGTAGTGCCCAGGGGTGGCGCCAGAAGGAGGGCAAGGGGGGCTACAGCCCCTCGTCGGGGAGCTTTAGCCCCCCTGTCGGGGAAAAATTTACAATTCGTCGTGGAATGAACGGGAGATATATGAGTTGCCCTCTATTGTTTTTAGTTCTCTCATATCAAACAGATAAACTTCTTCAAAATTTAACTTAGTATTTCATATTGTACATGGTTGGTAGCATAAAAATTTTCATGAAAAAGTCCGTGATAAGACTCTGAAATGCAAATTTCCAAATATCTAGAGCAATCAAACTTCAAAAATTTCCACCCTCGGCGCCAACCAAGCTGGCGCCTCGTGAGCATAAGCTCCAAATCTAAGGCATGGGACTGTAGCAATAAACCGAAAGCTGGGCTTCCTACAATTACACGTTAAATAACCAGGAGTTCAGCCTAGGCCCCCCTGTCGGGGACCTTAGCCCCTGTGCCGGGGAATTCCTTGCGCCACCCCTGGTAGTGCCTATCCATTTATTCCCATATTCCCAGTTTTCATTGTATACATTAAAGTTCGCTGGCCTATCCAGATGATTCCAGTGAACTGATCTGGACGTTCGTTTTAAGATAATTGTTATATAACTATAGTCCCAAATTTCTACACTTAATAGAAACAGTAGCGTAGCCAGCCTGACGATTTTGTCCCGCATGTAAATTTCGAGTTATTATAATTACTCCGGCTACCGTAGGTACGCCGGAGTCTTAAAACACCAGCGGCCGGAAGTTTTGGGCGTCACAAATGCGACCTACGTTCATGGAGTTAACCGCTTTTTTCCCCGAACGGTTCACGGGCTCACGTCAAAATGGCCGTGGATTATAAAGGATTTTTAATTTTGGGTTTTCCATCAAATACTGCGACTGTTTTCCTTGGCATTAGCACTCGTAGTGCGTCGGGTTTTACTCGTAGGATTTTGGCACAATCAGTCGTTAGATCATTGGTGAATATTGTAGCTTCGCAGGTTTGCATCATATACAGTAACTTCGATTTTAATATACTGTATACAGGATGTGCCTGTTTATTAACGGATATTTTGTGGAAGATAAACGAATTTAACAAGCTTTAACAATGTGTGGAGATTTTACATTGGAACTCTAGGCCATTAAAACTCTACAGATGTCACGTATCATTGTTGTCTCCGTTTTATAGCTCATCTATTAAAATAATATTGGTAGCAACAGCTAAATTTTGCCCTCAAGAAAGAGCAATATTGCTCTCAGGCATCATAAACCCCTGCCCGGTCTCGTTATTTTGACGGACGCATGTATATGGTACGCCACCTGTGCCGTAGCCGGAGTGTACGCCTGCCCAGGCGTCTTGTTACTCTTGTCTTTAGAAATTCATTGTTTTCACAATCAACGAACTCCGAAATGGTTTTTCATTACGGTTTCGCTTTTGCGAGCGTGCTTGCTGGTTTACACGCGTGGCGCGCGCGAATGCTGCGTGACCATGCGTGCCTCATTAGTTCCCCGCGTGAGGAAACATGGCGGACAAAAAGCCAAAAAATGTTCCAAGTCCGGCTGCATTTACTCCACCAAAATGGTAGTAGTTTACTCTCTTTTTTTTAATATTTCGTCTCTAATTTTGTATTAACTCGTATGATTCGTTACAGGGCGGGAAAACCTTCGGCTGGATTACATTTGGACGTAACGAAGAATGGTAGCGTTGTTGAGGTGCAGTATGAGACGAGTATTGATCAGCTTGATAACTGACCTAATTGACAGTATAGATGCCTCAGTGATATGCTATTTTGTTGTTCCGTCGTTAAAAATCGATAATATGATCAAATTGACAGCAATTTAATCCACACAGCATATTCTTCTATGCTTAGCTGTTAACTGTTGTGTAGTTCATGAGGTATTCAGTCATTTCAGTGATATACTGGGGTATTGAGTCCACTGACTATCATAAGTGCCTTAATATTTTCATCTAGGTTTTAATGATTTCAGTTTTACTCATTTAATTAAGGTACTTTTATGCAGTAACACGAACATGCTGTCATCTTAGGGTTAGACCCCACTATGCCAAGTGCCAAGCAGGTACTTTACACTTTACCCAAGTAATTGCATGCATTAGTAGTCGCTAAATGGTTAATGTAAATACCTAATGGTTCATGGTTACAATAAGGGTTTTTAGGGTCAAATCATTTAGGGTTAAATCATTAAACTGAGGCGATAGATTACTTGGGTACGGCAAGGTGTAACATTTCCTACCACTAAGACATTTAAGAACTTTTTCTTCTTGTTTGTGAGCCCCCAAAATTTCCACCAAAATTTTTGGCAAAAAGGCATGATTTTTGAGGCTCTCTACTCCAGCCATAGAAATTTACAGCATTTTCTCTTAAATATTGCAAATATATTCCAGGAGGTCTAATGGTATGTGGGTTTTACAGCAGTGTGTGCTCAATATTTTTTGTTTCTTATTTAGAAGCTGATTATTGATCAAAAACCTTTCTATCTGTTTGGACGAAATAAAGATTCCTGTGATTTTCCACTCGATCACACCTCATGTTCAAGGGTTCATTCTGCTTTAGTCTTTCATAAACATTTAAACAGACCATTCCTTATTGATCTAAAAAGCAGTAAGTACAATGTTTTGATTTGAAGAACTTAAATAAGTTTACCAGGCTCTGTTTGTACCCTGAGACAAACTGTAATCCCAGATTGACTGCAACATATCGTACATGAATAATTCTGAGTGTAATTAAATATATCTTATTGTCTGAAAAACTGGACTGGCACCAGTCAGAATTTTTTGTGAAAAAAATTTAACTAAATGACTTTACTCTCCAAACATCATTAAGTAGGAATATAAATATTATTTATGTATCTTGGTGTGGATATATTTTTTGACTAGTGGTGCTAAATATTTTCATCCAAAATCATGAAAATGGAAGCAAATAGTAATGCAAACTGTATTCAGGAAAATGTTTTAAAATGGCAAAGAATTTTAAACCAAGCATTCATTGCATGACAGAAATTATTGCATGACAACAATTTTTGACAACAATTGGATTGTCTATGGTCTGCCCTATCACACACCTGCATAGCAATAAGAGGGTGGATGAAGGTGCAACCCTACCACACTTGGTACGTCATCACTCCAGTGATAATCTGTTGATGATTTGCAAGAAAAGCTTAATTCTGGTTTAATTCCCCACTTTTATACCCCCTCGCTCATTTTCAGCTGTGATGGCATAGCAATAGAAGGGTGGGTGAGGATGCAAGCCCCCCCCCCCCCTACAATTTCTTCAAGATCATATTTCTTACACTTCAAAGACCTGAAAGATAAAGGGCAAGGGGGTGTATGCGATGAAATGTTTTGCTATCAGCCATCATTCATTCCCTAGCCTCACCTCCCTCCCCTCACTCGTTTTGTGCTTGTAATACCTCTGTCACCCACCAATGCATCTGGCACATATTGATTTCATGTTTTTTTCACTTCACGTTTTAGCTCATGGAACATTCATTGGCCATATTCGTCTTGAAAGTGACAAGCCAACTCAACTTCCTGTTGAAAGTGTCATTCACTTTGGCGCATCAACACGGACGTACACGTTACGAGAAAAACCGACATTACCAAGCGCTATGCAAGCGACAATGCATGGTAATAGTGAACAAAATGTGGATAAAGAGGATAATGAGGATAATGAAGGTTCAACTGGGGGATTTTTAGGATTGCCGGAGTCCGATACAGATCTTAAGGTCAGTTCCGTTTTAACATCTCAACTTAAATTAGAGCTACAAAGATATAGAAGCTATAAAGGAACCGGTTGTACAAAATTCCGCATTACATTTCGGGCATTTGAATAGTAGCTAGATAACTCCCGAATTCACGATTCTGATTGGCCATTTCTGTTTTGGACTCCCAGCTTTGGTTGGTTCGCAGAATGGCCAATAACAACAATCACTATTATCATTTAGTATTCCACTTCTGTATTTATATGAACAAAGTCTAAACATCGATAGTGGTTTAGAGCATGTTTTTAGGTAAAGATACGAAAGTGTTCAATTGATTTTCCAAGAACGCTTACGTTTAGAATTTTCTCTAAGAGTTGTAAATTACTGGAAAGTGTTTTCAAAATGTATGTATAAGAAAACTTCCGTGAAGTGCACAAAAATTTCGTAGTTGCCAAATTTATATCTCGGAGAAGCTGAATCGGATTGCAAGCTTCATGAAAAATTGCAGCGTTCAACACGACCTTAAGAGCCGTTTAATACCACTTCGTTCTTCTTAACGTATCGTATTTATTTCCTTTTTGGCACTCGGCTAGAACTAGTGACTTTAAAACAATGGGTTACATTACGGTACCGCTTGAATTGGAGAACAGCCTTAAGAGTTTGGAGGATTAAGGGAATGCAAACCGTAACAGTGTGAATTCATAACTAATTTCTACCATCAGAGTACTCTGGGAAAGCTTGACGTTAGGAGTTTCATTACACTAGTGTGAAATGTTTTTAAGCGAATCTAGTCTTCGAAAGAATAAATTCCACAAAGGTTTCAGTTCATTTTGAATAACCGCTCAGGCTACTATTCTGTCTATTATGACCGGTTCGTGTAGCATATTGTCAATGTCGTATTTTACTGTTTTGTTTCCAAGAAGAATGAAAAAATATTGAATTCAACATCGTGTGAATGCAATGCTAAAAGGAAACATTTGAAACCGTGATTACTGTATGAAATATTGGCAGCTGAGTTTCTTAACGGCATCGTGTGAATTTGGTCCTAATAATGATATATGTTCTACCCTCTTTCTCCAAAGCCATTATCAAGCTTTAACACGAATCTACTCGTTTCACGAGAACGACACGAGACTGCAATCACAGCTTCAATATTTGAACCGAAGGGTACAGTAATTACCACCCACGCAGTACCACCCAGTTTAAGATAACTATTGTAAGGAACAATGAAGTTTCACTCAATGCCTAGCTGTTACACAGAGCATTTTTTTATACAACTTGCAATGCAATTATACTTTTGAGAGATGTATATTACTGATGAATCCTCAAAATATAAGTCATCGGTGGGGTGTAATTTACGCGGAAGTTTCGTTGTTACCAAATTTACATCTCTCAAAAGCAGAATTGTATTGCATGTTGCACTGTGCAACCGGGCCTTTACAGACGTTGAAACATGATAGAAGTATGATTTAAAACTCGTTTCTCACCAGGATTTGACAGATTTTAACACGGCGCATAATAAAAGACTATCGTCTATTGCAATTGAAGAATCCGGAACTGCGCTGCCAAAATTAAAGAGACGACGTGTTTCCACTGGTATATCATTTAAAGATGGTTATGAAATCATAAATCCAGGTAAGAATACATCATTCCGTATTAAACTAAATTCAGTTAAAAATAGCATCACAAATTTAGTCAAATTAGGAGGTTTTGTTCTGAAGCATTGAAGTAGAAAAATCTTCGCCGTGCTGTTACAACTTTTCAAAATGAGACGAAATTTGCCAAATTTGTACGGCGTACAGTATACTGTATATATTTCACATTTTCAGTAATTTGCACTCAAACTTTCCAATTTTACTTGTTTGGGGATGCTCTACCCTGATGTAGCTATAGCTACAACCCAGTGCTGTTGCATGTTTGTTCAGCATTTAGTTAATAACTGAGTTATTTCTGTTAAGAATATTTTCTGTTCCTCATATTGCTTGTGAGTTGTGGCCTTACAACCTCGTAAGCCAAGGCAGTGAGGCGTAGGTAGAAAAGTCTGGCTTGCGAGGTTTGTGGTCTCATTGCACAAAATGGTTTCCTGACAAAGTTCACTAATTTCGTATATTTCGCGGGGAGAAAACAACCACCTTTAGCTCGAAAGTACAGGGTTCCCAAAACAGAATAAAGAATTACTAAACGGTTTTCTACGCTTTCCATAGGAAGCCCAGACAAATGAGTTGAAGTTAATAAAAATCCGTAAAACACTTGAGATATGTGTTAAAATTAGTTAAAGTATGTAATATGCTACAAAACTACTGTTAGAACCATGTATGTAGCGTGCTTCAGAGGCGCTGCCATTTGACTATGCAACTAGTGACGTAACTTACTATATTATTAGGAAGGATGGAAACTCTCGCCTCAATTTTCAACATGTTCACAAATTAAAACACAAATTACTATAGTAAAACGGCACGTCGACTGCTAAATGCCTACCCTAGGTTTAAGTTGAATAATCAAACTATTTTTTTATCACAAAAATAATGCTGAATTCAAAAGAAAGCGCTGGAAAAATGTACACAAACTTTGTAAATTTGCCGAAACTTTCGTGAATTCATGCGGGATGTAAGTACCTACCCAAAATGGCGGCGGCAGAAGAATCTGATTGGTCGATCATTCTTTGTTTACCTTTCTCGACCAATCAGATTGGTTTATCATACTTTGTTTACCTTTCTCGACCAATCAGATTCTTCTGCCGCCGCCATTTTGGGTAGGTACTTACATCCCGCATGAATTCACGAAAATTTCGGCAAATTTACAAAGTTTGTGTACGTTTTTCCAGCGCTTTCTTTTGAATTCAGCATTATTTTTGTGATAAAAAAATAGTTTGATTATTCAACTTAAACCTAGGGTAGGCATTTAGCAGTCGACGTGCCGTTTTACTATAGTAATTTGTGTTTTAATTTGTGAACATGTTGAAAATTGAGGCGAGAGTTTCCATCCTTCCTAATAATATAGTAAGTTACGTCACTAGTTGCATAGTCAAATGGCAGCGCCTCTGAAGCACGCTACATACATGGTTCTAACAGTAGTTTTGTAGCATATTACATACTTTAATTAATTTTAACACATATCTCAAGTGTTTTACGGATTTTTATTAGCTTCAACTCATTTGTCTGGGCTTCCTTTGCGCTTTCCGAAAGTCTCGCAACATCCCGAGTACATGGATGACGCAATCCTGCGCCAAAAATTTTTGACCAATCAAATTGCGTGTTTCACTGTAATTATTATATAATCCGCTTTAATACTTATGTATTCGTTGGAACAATAATTTACTCTGTTATCAGATTGATTATTGACACTAGTTTAATAAACTTGACATTTTTTGTGCCTCTGGTATTTCATGTATTTTGTACTGTAACAGTGTAAGTGAAAGCAAAACCAACCAAAGGTATAAGAACCTTTTCTAATATCTATATGTTGTATGCGGGTTCCGTTTTTGTTTTTTTGGGCACACCCTAATTCCAGCCATTATGAACCTTACAGATACGGCTATATTTTCCCGCTTATTTAGCTAACAATTTAATCGCTGTGATGTTAGATCGCGTATTTCTTGGATGTTCGCACTCGTTTGGAAAAGTCGTCGTGTATAGAGTGTAATTTATTACTTTAAAGCCCAGTTTGTAGCTACTAAACTCAATTTATTTGCTCGCCTCTCCTAAAATAGGTATCCATAGGAATCTCGTCTGTGCTTGCGGCCTTCTTCCTTACACAAATAAAATTAGGTAGCTACGTGCAAGTTCATGCAGGAAAAGACTGAGGTTTTTGTAAACAGATCGTCAGTTAATTTCACAGCTTCCCGGTGATCTGTTTATACTAAAACCTCTTTTCCTGCTTGAAGCTGTTTCAAAATAGGGCCATTTAAGGGCGCCATAAGAATAGCAACGCTATAATACTTAAGACTGCTTTCCACCTACGCGTGTACGCAAAATTTTAAATGCTTTTAACTTTTTATTATTTAACATCTAGGTCAACGTATGCATACTAAAATATGCAGAAAACTAAGTTCCTTTGATTTATTCACTCAGTGTTTTCAAAGATAACTTGTATAAGGACTTTTACGTGCGTATGAAAAACGCGTAAGTGGAAAACAGCCTTTACTCATATATCCGTTGGCTCGCACGAGTTAGCTACAGTATCTAGGTTTCCAAGCCCTTCGTCGAACTGGCTGCGTCGTAAATTGTAAACACCCTGAATGCCGTTAGGTAGTGCGGTCTAAAAAAGTAACATATTTCAATTTGTTTTGCAGAAGACGTTGATCCCTCAGTTGGTAAATTTCGTAATATGATTCAAACGAGTATTGTGCAGGTTAAGGTATGATATAATTAAGCAGAGTAGCTGAAGCTACAGTACACTGTATCATGACAGCAGAATCCTTTGTTGCTCCAGGTTACGTCTAGAAATTTAGATTAATCACTTATTTTTTAAATTTAACTTATAGCTATTTTTATTTATTTATTAGCTTATATTTTAGCCGGGCAGTGTCAGCCAGCGCTCAAGAGGGTTGTAATCCATTTTGCTGTATATTATCGATTATAGCTACATTTTGTTATTGTTTATGAAACTATTGTCGAAATTTTGTGATCAATGTTTAGTTACAAGAACTATGGCGTAAACTGAAATAAAGTATATTTCAAGGCATATTAAAGCCTCGCGTTTACACTACGCTCGATTTATTGCAACCGCACGGCTAAAATAGGTACCTGCGTGCCCATTTCATCCGTGCCCGGCCTTTGTTTTGGTAGTCTAGGCACTAATGAAATTGAGTACGGGTACCCAATAAATTGAATGCAGTATAAACAGGGCTTAAGTTGTTTCGACCTATAATTTTATCAATTATTACGCATGTTTTGTTTCGAAAGTTGATATTCACATTTTTCACCATATTTTTCATAATTTGGCGCGTAAATGTGCTTCCGCGGTGTTTTCTGTACTAAATTTCAATTTGCGTCAAAAAACGTCGATGTTTCAACTCGAAATGCCCTTGTGTATAACAACCGTATTCGTAACGTCTTTCCGCTTTTTTTATTATCCAGGAACCAAGGCATGCATCAAAAATTGGCAGTATGACAGAAAGTATCACAAAGAGAATGAACAGTTTCGCTTATAAGGAAGAATTATACACAGACCTTCCAGCTCTTGACGGCCATGAACATGATACCACGTTACATTCAGTACAGAGTGGAAGTAGAGTAACGGCTGCACCGGACGTTGAGGGACCCGAGTATACTGATGTTGATAGAACTGTACATGAAAACACGTTTGCACCGTCTATGCCGCAAGAGGCGCCGAAGAAGAAATACGCAAAGGAGGCCTGGCCTGGCAAAAAACACGGCTCGTCGCTTTTGATGTGAAATGGACCCTAAAATTATCGCTGGCAAATCGATATTTGCGGATACTCTCATAAATGCGTGCAATTCCCAAATGCATACCAAGCCAATGTGCTCCGTCTACCAACCTTTGTATATTACAACTTTCCATGGTCATATTGTATAGAGCGTTACGCCACATTTCGCCGTTTACGCGTTAGTAAACCCCTGGAAACTGTATCTTGGCAGCATCGTGGCCAATCGTCATACGCATGCGCGATGTAACATTAGTCACGCACAGTGAACCCTAATAAAACTGGAATGATAACTCCACAATAATGTCCAGTCAATGGATGAAGCCGATTTGAATATAATATGCCGGTTAAGGCGGGAGCCGCCCGAGCAAAACACGCTTTCAAAAGACGCAACGAATTTACCCTTTCTAGATAGAATAAAGTAATCTGCATCATCTAACTGGGAAAACGGGCGAGGTACCAGCGTTTTACTTGAAATATTTAAAAAATTTGAAAAAAAACTTCGCCTTCATGACATTCGTTTGCACCATTTCACATTCATAAAACTTGTTTTTTGGTTAAATCAAAAAACAAGTTTTGAGTCAATGCTTAAGCTTTTATTCATGCTGAGATGAGATGGGCTTCAGCGTTGTTTTGGTCTTGTAATCTCAACTCTTCGCCTTCATTGCGGCCTTCTTACTATTTGGCTTCAAAGATGGCGGCCAAGTTGTCGTTCCAGTCTTTAGAGTTCACTGAACTCGCATGCCCTGGCGTTTGACTGCATTTTTTTAACTGGATAGCTAAATTGACGTGCAATGCCAGTCCCTTTCTCGTTTTTTCGGCTGCGCAGCTTGCAAAGAATGTTCAGGTTTTTGAACTGTTATATATACGAGATTTTATGAGATCATACTCTAGCTTGTTAAGGTGGTGTTATACAAGAAAATTATTTTACTTCAAAAAGTATAAGAATCTTTTCATGCTATATTGCAAGCCAAGTTGTTTTGAAAAAAAGACTTGTAAGTGTTTTCAATCACTATAGTTACCCAGACCAGACACACTCAATTGTGGAAAATTGTCGATTTTTGTAAACACGATAACAAACTAGGTTTTAACTCTAGAACGACGGAATTAGTTTTATTTAGTCCTAAATATTTTTGCCTCGGAGCTGAACTAGAATAAATAAATCTTTTCCAGTATTAAACGTTTTACAGGATATAAATATAAAATTTCTACGATCTGTCTCAAAATAAACCCTCGTTATTTTACTTTGAACGAAATACAACACTTTTAGGTTCACGCGTCCAAGCCAATTGCCTTTAAAGTCTACCATAAAAATTTTATCAAGATAGCTTTACTACTTTGAGTTATCTTCTCCCAAAATAAGGCGAATGAGAACGATTAAGAAGACATTTAAGTTTGCACTCTTGAAATTTTAAAAACAGAATAAATCGTGATTTTTGTGTATACGACCACCTTAAGTAATACTCTTCCCCCGGAAATATCTTCCGCTATCTTGGCTTAATGAAATCTTAATTCTTAAATATCTTTTTCGTAATAATTTATTATAGTTAGTTTATCAGTAGGAAATTACCTCTCATAGCTACAAGATTATCTCGACATTAGCAGAGCGGGCAGGGATGAGAACACTGAATTTTGTAATATTTTAATGCAGCTCGACTGAATTACATCACGCCATTAAAATTGTCTACTGATTTGTAATGTGTGGAATAATATTGCATACATTCAACGCATTTTTCGGCCAAGACTTTTTTTATAAAAAATATTAATCAAATGATTGAATTTTACATAGTTCTAGACATTCCTAGATGATTACTCTCTAATTGGCTTCAAAGATGGTGGCCAAGTTAGCGTTCCAGGTTTTATTACAGTTCTGGGACTGGGGCTTTTATATTCAGTTCCGCCTTACGGATTTAAATCGCAATCGAACCCCACTCCCAATGACCCAATCATGGAATCTGGTTACATCTCTGAGGACATTTATAAATCCTGAATGGCAACACGCTACCTAATATACAGGGACAGGGTGTCTAAAAAAAAACGCATCACTACTTGAAAATGCAAGAACTAATACCGCTCTAAAGCGCAATAGATCAGCACCGGTAGGAATTGAAAATGGCTCCTAATCCTTCATTTAAAATGCTAAAAGTGATTTTAGCTGAACTATAGTGCAAACCCGAACAATATTAATATTCTTGCATATTTAAGTTGAGACACCCTTTAGTTCTATGTTGATTACAATTTTGAATAATAATGTGGACAACAAAATAGCACTAAGTCTGGTTCAAATCAATATTGCAACTAACTGATAGTTCTCAGACGTGAATATAATATTTTCAAAAGGTGAGTTTTATGGTAGATATCAATGTCTATGAAAATTTAAAATTAAACGAGACTTACCTGGAATTTGAAGTTTGATGATAATTATATCAAATCTGCTGTGCTACGAAGGGTTAACATGAGATGCACGGCTCGCGCTGCCGTGAGTCAACCTAGGGCGAGAATCCACGACAAAGGTTTCTTTCGTTGTTCAGCCATATGTTCGGGTACAAGGACCAATCTTTTGACGTGTTCCATTTATAGAAAGTTAGCCAATTGTCCCAAAACTGAAGTGAGTAGAAGCGGTAGGAAGCCCTCCCCTTTCTGGACAAGACGTGCTCTTCTTTTTGCAATTGGATTTCGTTTGTCAGCTGCAAACTTTATATGTTTGGAGTGTGGTGCAATCTTTTTCGCTGTTTTTGATTTCAGTTTAATTGTATCAAACCAGACGTTCAAAAGACACTGTCTTATAGCTTCCAGTAGATCGTCTTCGGTTGCTTTTAAAATAGCTTTTCTCAGTTCGGGTTTACACTTGGCTAATACTTTCAGAAGTTCGGAGTTCCTTTTCATGCAAGCAGACATGGTCAAATGATTGTTTTGCAAAAATCATGCCTTACTTATACTCTTGGTTGGTAAACGTAATGTTTATCTGTTGGAAAGATACCAGATCTAACTCGAATTTCATCGGGACACGCTGGCGTAAGGTCGACAAACAAATAGGAATAAGGCTGTTTCGTTGCCAACTGGTAGGCTTGTTGGAAATATTTCGTGTGACTAGGATATAACTGTTTAGCTAGATGAATAATTTGACTTGCGTCGCGAACGTTTTTCGTTAGACACAAATAACTTGCATTTAAGGATATGGTACGGTGATCTTTGCTGTGATGAAATAGGTTTTGTACAATGTATATGACACTAAGGTTACCATGATGTGATTTTTTCGTAAATAATTTTGAAATAACTCCGTCCTTTTCACCCATCATGTCGTCAATGACATATAAATTACGTGTTTCAGGATTAATACTGTCTAGTATATCATCTGGCAGGCCTTGTATGAATTTTATTCTAGGCATTAAATTTTGTATTTCTCCAAACGTATCTTGGTACTCAGCGTAATAGTACACAATATTTTGTGGAGGTTTATCTATCATGACGTTGACATAGCTCAAAGGTTTTTTCACAAATGTAGTTTTTCCCGACTTGGTACTTCCAGAAACTAAGAGGCCAAACGGGTGTGTTAACTGTATGGAGTACATGATGAAAATGAGACTTGTAACAACGTGTCAGACGATTTATACCATTCTCCTAATGATTCTATGCAATTCCGTTAAAACTAAATCCAAGTCCAAAGGTGCGCTTTTTGCACGTATAAGATAAGGCTGCCTTTGCGTAGAGGAAAGGTTATGAACACCTGCTAAGTCGTTAGATAATTTCAATAAATTTTTCTTACCACAAATCGGACAGTCTTTACGCGCTCGAGGCATGATGCCAACTGAATACGTCTCGAACTACTTCGCTTATAAGTGTCCCTTCAGGGACTTTTTTTGTCCCTGGTGTCCCTGGAAGATTAAAAGTGTCCCTTCAGGGACTTTTTTGTCCCTGGTGTCCCTGGAAGATTAAAAGTGTCCCTTCAGGGACTTTTTTTGTCCCTGGTGTCCCTGGAAGATTAAAAGTGTCCCTTCAGGGACTTTTTTGTCCCTGGTGTCCCTGGAAGATTAAAAGTGTCCCTTCAGGGACTTTTTTTGTTCCTGGTGTCCCTGGAAGATTAAAAGTGTCCCTTCAGGGACTTTTTTTGTCCCTGGTGTCCCTGGAAGATTAAAAGTGTCCCTTCAGGGACTTTTTTTTTGTCCCTGGTGTCCCTGGAAGATTAAAAGTGTCCCTTCAGGGACTTTTTTTGTCCCTGGTGTCCCTGGAAGATTAAAAGTGTCCCTTCAGGGACTTTTTTTGTCCCTGGTGTCCCGGAAAAGCTAGGATCGGGTTCTTCCCGAGATGCCAACTGAATACGTCTCGAACTACTTCGCTTATAAAAGTGTCCCTCCCTGGACGTGTTTTGTCCCTGAAGCTCTGGATGTGTGAAGGGCTTTTCAAAGAGAAACATATAGCGGGACTGTTTGTCCCTCGCGGGACTTTTTTAGTCCCTAAAGCTCTGGATGTATGAAGGGCTTTTCAAAGAGAAACATATAGCGGGACTGTTTGTCCCTCGCGGGACTTTTTTAGTCCCTAAAGCTCTGGATGTATGAAGGGTTTTTCAAAGACAACTTTACACTCGACGCAATTGATCGGATATTTGGCCGTCGTATGCTGTAGGGTTTAAAATGTACTTGTAGTTATTATTGTACTTTGCTAATCAGTCCATAATAACTAAATCTGCCTCCCACTCTTCGTCCATAGCTGCTATTATAACACGATTACGCTTGAAACGAAATCGAACTGGCTTGTGAAGAGCGTACGTATCTTGAGTTCTCAACTATGCTCGTATTTTATTCCGTGATATTTGATACTTGTGATCGTCTCTAACAGCACGATAAAGGGCGTCTACGCCACCAAAACTTGCTGGACTTTCTGGGCTGTAATACAGGTTGCTCAGATATTTTTCGGCCATCAACGTCAAAAGCCTGAATTACAATACTGCCCCCGCAACAGGCGGAAATGCAACGTATTTTGCGAAAGAAATTTCTGATTGAGAATTGAGATTTCAGGGAGCGCTTTACCACAGCAAGTCATCCTCTCGCCACAAAGGTTTCAGCGAAGTGAATGTCCTGAGGTTTGCAAACTGATATATAAAGCTTATAACATACATGATCATGTTAAAACAATCGCCCATTTTTTGCTTGGTTGTGCTTTTGGAACGCTTATATTCCGGAAAGACGGAATACAATACCTAACATTGCGCCGTATACATTTCTCGCTTTTGCAGTTTAAGTATATGCAAGCTAAATAGGCACAAAGTCGACCAAAGTTTGAAACATTTATTTCTTTGTACAGCTGTTCGTAATCACGACAATCACTTTGCAATATACCCCCATGGTTTAAAAGCATGGTGTTTACATGAAACTTTAAAGTTTCTTTATCGATTTGAACATGATTTTGCTTCAGCTCGTCAACAATCACGTCGAAACCATTCATTGTGCACGACCAAGATCCAAATGAATACAGACAAGCAAGCAGCGTGATATTTACGCAATGCATTTATTGAACTTAAAAATTGTACAGACGGCTGCGAAATTAAGGAAAAACGTTTATCTATATACACACATAGTTTCACTCTTCACTATGCATTACGTTATACAATCTATTAAATGTTATGTTCAGGATTACTTAATAACAGTCTGTTTGTGCCTTCGTTGTCATCGGCAATTCCCCCATGTATTCAGCGTATGCGTCGTGAGGATTTTCCCGTGCGCTGGAAAAGGTAAGGCCTGTTTCGGATACCATATACGTGTACAGGGCTGGATTACTTTGCAATAGGCCAACTCTCTGAATGTGCGGAAAGTGATCTTGGTTAAAAGGATTCTCTGGTACGATTTTCCATTCGAAAAAGCCACAAGATTTTTCTCGGTCGTTTGGGCAGCAGAAGAACAGACGTCCTTGATTTTCTCCCTCCTTTTTAACTTTTCGCACACAGCAGTTTAACCCGTGCTGACACTTCGGTTTCGGGAGCTCTAATCTGTCACCCCATTGCCAAAAGTTACACGGATTTTTACGATCGCAGCAAACATAGAACGGTCTCCCAAAGTTACGTTTACTTAGATCCTTCACCACTTTCATCTTGGTCAGTCTTTGGTGTGTGTCACACAGCGGATGAATCGCGCCATTCGCCCTCCACATCATCATAGCCGTATCAAATAGCAAACGATCTTGTTCAGAGCAAAAGAATTCGCAAGATTTAGGGTTGTTCTTGTTACAAACCCAAACTTTCCTTTCTTGGTAGAGATTGTGGTCGCAGGCACTCCATGTAAGCACTCCATTGCTGTGTTTTCTTGGGCAATTTCTGTTCGATGTGCGATATTTATGTGCAAGCTACCCTTTTTTAGAGGCGAACATGTTCAGGTTCGTCCTGTCATTAAAACTTATTACCAGTAATGTATGCATAAACGCGTTTGAACAAAGTCATCAACTGACAATGTGTGTAAACAAATGCTTGTGCGCACATCATCACGCGTGGGAGTAGCGCACACCGTAGCGCTCACAAATTACCTTTTGTAAACAATATGTTTGATACGAGAAGGATCTCCTCGCAAATCTGAACATTCCCTCCATCAATTTGGAGTGTTTTGGATGCCCG